AGGGGAGTTGGAAATAGATCACTGTTAAGGTCCTTTCCAAACCAAACTGCTCTATGATATGTCAAAACCAGAAAATATATCTGCTCATCACAGTAATCTTGTAACTCTTGTCCAAAAATTATATGCCAAGAGTTCACTTGAAATTAATTTAACTGGTTGCTCTAACTGGCAGAATGCTACTTAATCTTATTTTTTTCTTGTCTGATATGAGGACTTTATAGAACAAAGCCTAATTTCTCAGAAATTCTAGTCATAAACATATTAATATATAAGAATTCCATGCAGAGTTATTTTGTAGGTGTTAGAGGAGTTAGTATTTATTGGTACAATGTACTAGGAATGCAGCCAGATATCCTCTGGTGCAGACTGCGATCAGTAGTGGTGAACATAAGATCAGCGGCACATGGAGTGAAAGACTGGCAAAGATAGGCCTCTAATTCATAAACCAAGAGGTTGGATTTGTGCATTAAAATTGTTATTGTACAACACTGTACAAAAGACAGAACTAGAGAGAACATTTGCCCTGGGTTTACCCCTATTTAACTAATAATTGCTCCCTAGCTAGCTGCTGCTGTTATGGTTATGAACCTTGGCGTAAGTGCCTTCAGTTTTCACTATTATTATAATAAATATTTTGCCATCAAAGCTCAACTGAACCTTTTCAGTGGTTTACTAACAATAATTAATTCTCACTGGTCTCTCTAAATTTGGCACACCTTTAAGTTAATGTTATCCTGCAGGGACTCGAGCTTGTCCAGCTTTTTTCCATACGTCTTGCATGTTCTTTTAGCAGAAACATTTGTTAACATCTGTTGCTTTTACTTGGACTGTGCTGAAGATCAGATAAATGTATTCCATGAGTTTTAAATAAACTATATGTTTCGAAGGAAAAAGGGAATTTAACCCAGAGGGGCCTTTGGAAATACAGTAATGACCAAGATACAACTTATGCTCTTGGTAGCTAGAAGATAATTGCAGTCAGATGGTCTACGGGCTTGGCTAGCAGTCATTGGAGCTGCATATATGAGAAACCAAGTGATTATTGAAGAACACGAGTGAGGGATGATGCTCAGGAAGGGTGCCTGTTGCTAGCTAAGTTACGCTTGCTTTGCATCTGTGAAATCAGTTTGCTCAGTAAAAATATCTTAAAATTAATAGGAAAGTATAAATCATTGGGATTATTGAATTAGAAAACATAAAACCAACAAAATAATCAGTCAATCTTATATACACAGTGGGCCTCTTTGACCTTTAATGTCATCAGTGTGGCTGCAGTATTATTGAAATGATAACTCATTCTTTTAGCATAGTTAGGATGTTCTTTGGATCCAGGGATTGTGCCACACAGCACCGCTTATGCTAGAGAGATGGAATTGCTCGTTGTTATTTAATGGGGCCACTAATCAGCAAAACTTTGTTGATCTGTCACTTGTACATCCACAAGTCTTGATGATTTGAATAATTCTGCTCTTCTAGATCCTGTTGCCTCTCCAGATGGTGACCTTCAGTAGGATTCATCAGTAAGTATCAATAGCTTTTACAACAAGGGCAATTTAGAGAAATAGTAGCATGGTAGTCACATATAGTGTTATTCAGAAAAGGAGGGTGCACAGCCTTTGTGACCCCTGTTGAACTAAGGGGAGCTTGGAGGACTTGTGGAAAACTTACTAACACCTATTACTGCTCTAATTGTAGGACTTGTGGCTGCTTTCAAGTATGAAACACTGAAGTTATACCCCAGTGTGGCTGTATTGTCTGTCTCATCAAATGTCCATGAATTCTTCCATTTCTTTTTCTGTAATTTTGTATTAGCTACTGTTTATTTTTGTCAAGTTACTTGATGCCACAGATACCCATGCCACGCTGAAGCTGCACTGTCTTAAATTTTCTTTCTTACTCTGAACTCCCCCATGTGATCCCTGGCACAGGTAACTTTAAGTCCGTTTCTTCTGTGCCTAGCAAGGCATTAAACTATTGTAGACTGTCCTGAAGGCCTTATTGTGCTGTAATTGCTATCCTTGTTGAAATTCATATGTGCTACAATTTTCATTCGGTTTCCAAGTTTTAGCATCCACTTTATGGAGGCAAATAAGTGACTTCAAGTTATACTTTTGGGGCCATCAGAGCATCCTCATAGAATAGTATGAAGCAAACCACCTTTGTTTTGTTTCAGTTGCAACAAATATTTGTTGCTTAATTAAAGTGCTAGCTCCATGAAGCAAATATTTACTGGGAAAAAACAGATGTAATGTAAAAGTAGCAAGATGCTAATTCCCATGATGGTAGGGAAAAAACTTGATAATGTCATAATAATGTGCACCAACAGGTGAAAAGGAGTATAAAATCCCAGGCCTTTCTTAAAAGCTAGCTGTGTAATTTTCAGCTACCAGATGGTGTAGTGTAGATGGCAAGGTTGATGTTTGGCATTAAAATGTATTGTAATTTGATTTTTTTGGGGTAAAAAAAAAATAAATTGGTAAATCTTCTGTGACACTTTAAATAGAGAATTTTAAATTTTATGGGTAAATATTGCAAAAGTTTCTTATTCTGTGGGGTTGGGGCTTATTTTTATATTAATACTTGAAACTGTTGTCAGTTTACTCTTTGCGTGGAACTGGCAAACTTTCAGTGAACATCTTTGCAATGTAAGCCTGATTTGCTGACATTAAAAGTCTGGGTGCATTTTCTTTCTGAACATCTAGGTTTCTCTGTGCAGTGGAGGGATTTGAAGTTTATAGCATGGATGTGCTCTTTTACTACGCCTGTAAAAATCCACCCACATTTGGCAAAGTTATAAACATTTGAAAAATTGCATTTCACACATTCTTGGTCAAGTCTTACTAGATTTTTTTAGTACCTACATTTCCAAAAGATTACACATGTATTGGATGTTTGCCTTTCACAAGACAGGACTTGCCTTGAAATTGCTCCGAGTTGGAGAGATCAGACCAGTACGACTAGAGGAACTGAGATCAATGAATTTGCCTCTCATGTTTTCTAGTGAGCATGTTGTTAAGATGAGTTAGCACATCAATGTGAATTAGAGATTGAGGATAAAACTTCATAAGAGAGAGGAATTGGGCAGATGGGTGAGAGTGCTAAGTTGTGTTTGTCTGCATGGCTGACCAAGACCAGGAGCAGGACTGAGGTAAGATGAGGATCGTGAAAGGAAGGATGTTCTGGTTGAGGAGCTGGATTGCGTGAAGAGAGTTTACTCCAGCTGGAGAGAGAAAAATGAGAGGGTAGAGAGACTGGGTGGGATGTCCTTGATATTGTAAATGAGAGAGACAGGCCTGGAAATGGTTCTGGATGCAGTCTCCTATGTGACTTCAGCCTGAGTTTTATTAGGAGATAAAGTACTTCAGGTGTGTGCTTGAGTGCAGACCATGTAACACCTTGAGATATATATATAAAGGCAAAAGTTTTGATACAAAATGAATGCTTTCAGTGCATTAAATTGCAAACATAGCTGCACCCAGTGTTACCACCAATACTTGCACATCTGATGCATAGCTGCTTAGTCATTCCATTATGTTGGCTACCCCTTAAAGCCAAGATTTATGTGATAACTTTGTCGCCCGTGTGTTTTCCTTAGACCAGCTTCCCTTTTGTTTTGCATTGTGGAAAAGCCTAGCGTTGATTGGGCAAAGATCTATTGAGACGCTTTCCCGAAATTTGTTTTTCTCTAACTTCCAACTAAGCTTAATAGCTGCAGTGCAAGAGGAGCTGGAATGTTGTCCTTGGTGTCAGTGGAGAAACTTGGAGCTTTTTGCAGCAGAACTTATGAATTTCTAAAGTTTAAAAAAGAGGAAGATGTGCATCTACTGATTTAGCTGTCTTGAGAGGTCCCACATTACATCTGTTATGAGTGGTTGCTATGCGTCTGCCTTCATTCTTTGACCGAAGTCCAAGGTATGGGAACCTCCAGTATCTCCGCTTTTATTTGGAACCTTGCTGCAGTTGCTCAGTGATTTCTTGGCACGTTGGTATCCTCTATAAGACAAGAATTACTTTCACGTAAACATAGCATTCATTCTCTTTTCACCCAGCAAGGACAGATTGTCGTTTCCTTTTTTTTTTTTTTCCTTTTTCTTTTTTTCTGTCTCTGTAAATACCTACATTGTTCTTGTGATTCCCCCATCCCCCAATGCTTTATCATCACTACCCTGTATCTTCATATTCATGCTTTACATCTCTTCCTGTATGTAAGCATTTTAGTTTTCTGTAATGTAGAAGCACCTTTGTAGACTGTCAAGTTTATGACATTTCCTGTATAAGCAAGGAAGGAGATAATTTGGCCTTTTATTTTTCCTCTTCTTGGAAATATTCTTTGCATAAAGAAAAACAACTTTCTGGCAAAAGCAAAAATCAGATGGTGTGTCAGCAGAACCTGAACCTGCTGAAATAACTTCTGTGCCCTGACCCAGTGGGTTGAAGCTGATTGACACAGCTCAGCGTGATTGTTTGATGTGAAAACATAGGGAAGAAAGTGAACATTTAACAAATAGCTCTTTTGTGACTCTCTTAGGAAAGAAAACCATTTTGTGACTTTAGGAAGTATGCTTTTCCCTTCACGTATCAACATCACTGTGCTTTGAGCCCATGCACAGTTGAATAGGTCACCAGTCATAGGTAGCTTATCTAACTCAAGGCAGATGTTATCTCCCTTTCCCTGCTGTTCTGTGCAGATTCATCTGTGCAGAACACTTTGTGCAGGAGTTCAAGGTCTGAAGCAAGAAAGTCTGGTTTTTGACTCATTATTGTCCTTCTGAATGTCAATTGAACCATTCCAGAAGGCAGAATAGGCAAAGTATAGCAAGGCCTGATTTCTGCATTGAATGGTGACTTCTTGGCTGTGACAGAAATTTTCTAAAGAAAAAGGATGACGTTGCAGCACTTTAGCATACTTTTTCATATTGAATTGTGGAGTTCTTGTTGTTTGTTTTTTTTTTTACTTTTATAATAACATTCTTTTGTTTGCTTCAAAGCAAGGGAGATAGAGCCATAAATTGCTGAACTTGCATACAGGTTTTGATTTACTTTATCCTGGCCAAGACAAGTAAGTAAAGATTCAAAACTGTACAGCTTTCTATAGTTGCTTACTTTTTTCCTGATTATAACTTGTTCTTTATTTTTCTTTAAAAAAGTGGTTTCTTATAACCATACAGCTGAATTCTATAGATATGAATAGTATCAAATCAGTTTGTGCTCAACAGAAAGGAGACCCATGGTAGCACTACTAGGCTTCTCCCAGGGCACATGATGAAAGTTTGATCTCATGTTTAAAAGGAGTAACTTAGGCCCAATCCAAGTTGCATTGAACTGAGTGAAAGGAGTCACTGTAGTTAAAATGGAAGAAGACTTTCGGCCTTTATTAGTTAATACGATATAGTATTAGTATTAGTTAATACGATATAGTACCATCTCAAGAGGTTGTATTCTACTGCATTTATAGTTTGAATATGACTGCCTTGCTGCAAATGATCCAGTTACTGTAATTTCAGCAGCAGCGTTTCTTGAATGGGTTACAGTTATGAGTAATGGCATGGAGGGAGAAAAAATTATTGCCTTCTGATTTTTTGTGGAGGAAGAGCTGGAAACACGAAAGTTCAAAAGAGGAGATGAATTCCTTAGTTTTCATGCACACTGCTGTGCTCTAGGAAAAGAGGAGGAGTAACGGCAAAATATGTAAGGGTATGGAAAATGTCATGAAATAGCTGTTTCACTTGCAGTTGGAGCTGGGGTGCTACACAGGATCCCAAGAAGGTAGCTATGAAATCTAGCCCTCACAACCGTTTGTAGGCAGCATATTTACTGTGACACTAGCTGTTCTGCAAAGCAAACCAAGTCCAGAGTTCATACAGGGATGCCAGCATAAATCAGTTCTGCCTCAGCCCAGCATTAACACCACTTCCTATTGATACCACTGTGGACTATGTTGCCCACGAAGTGTTGGGAGAGTTAGCTTTTTAGTTTGCCCCTCCATCCTTCCTGGGAGAGAAAGATGACCTTGGTACGCTCTGCCAGCCCAGCTTTCCTCCTGACATGTTACAGTAAATTGGGATTAGGTCCCAACTCCAGGTGTGTATTCCCATGTTCCCCACGGTATAGATACATGGTTCTAGCCCTCATGTAAGTGGCTTTCATCTTTCAAATCTAGACTGGCTTGTTTAGAGCCAGATGGTGTGTATCTGGCTGATGCTGTGTTGCTAGTTCCACATACGGCCTTTCAGAAGCTAACTTGGTTTTTAGCTACTTGGTAATTGGTATATTTCTAGATTACCTGCCTTGTCTTTTAAAGGCTGTATTTTGCATTTCTGTACAGGAATCAATTAGCAAACACATTAAAAAGTTAAGCAAATCATACCTAGATAGTATTCTGACAACTTCATTGCTATATAAATAGCAGCGGAAACACAGCACTGGTTACAAAGTCAGAAGGTATTGATTTTTATTTTTTTTTAAACATAAATCTAAAATCTACTTAAACATTGCTTTTTCTGTCACTTCACTCATATTTTAGAGAGGCATAGTAGTGTGAAGTGCTAAAGCAAAGCAAATTAAAATTTGCAAATTAAAATTTCAGTGCTGACATAAGCTGGCCCTGAAGTGAGCTAGAACAGAATTTCTTAGATAAGTGTCATCTTCTTAACATTTAAGAAAACAAATAATTTCACAAATGCATTTATTTTAAGTATGGTCCCATAGATTTACTTAACAATTGACTTTCAGATGAAAATATAATAAAATAGCATTGTTTAGGGAGTTAGTTACTATTAACTAGTTAGGAAGCAAAGTGCTTCAAAAACCTTAGGTTTGCTGCTGAAGTTTAAATCTCTTCCGAAATGTTCAAAGAAAAATATTGGACTATTAATTGTATAAAGCTTCAGAATAAGAACTAATATGTTCAAATTGATTTTAGTCTCTTGGTATAAGAAAAACTTGTCTGTTGGAGGAAGAAATTGTGGACTGCAGGTGTCCTAGGAAACTGGCCAAGTGTTGGCCATCCTGTGTATCCAGAAAGGAGTGCTGTAAGGACTTCATGTCTTAAGTGCCTGCTCACATGCATTTGGGAAACATTTCTGTGCTCTTTTACATTGTCAAATCTAAATGTATAAACCCAAAATAAAACCTCTAATGTAAAGGGTTTAAATGTTCTAAATTGAGGTACCTTAATGTAGACCAGCAAATCAGTGATTTTAAAAAAAGTAGTAAAAATTTACAGAAATGTACTTATTGTGTCATCCAATGCTCATGTACTTTCTTAGGGCAAAATAAATGCTTTCTCTAATGGGAGCCTGTGAAAACATCACCATACAGCCAAGTTTCTTGAAGAATGCAGTTCTTGTGTACTGGCTTTCCTCCAAAGGAGCTGACCTACCTTTACACGTAGCAAATTTCTGGAAGGACGGTAGCCTATAAATGAGGAGATGAAGGTGGGCTGTTACATAGTGTCGCAATTGCTTTCCTCCTGCAGTGCTTGTGACTTAGCTGTTTTTCTTCAGTGGGGACCATTCTCATCTCTCTCGCTATTCTTCTGTCTTTTATCAAGGTCTTACACTGTTGGAGCTTAAACAGCTCTGTCCAGATCCAAGTTGGTTCCACATAAGGATCATCTTTGATGCCCCACAAAGAATTTGGAGGTTGGCATGGAAGAATAAGAGATGCAGACTGCAAAATTGCTAGTTTAGCATCAGTGCAAGCCAGCAGAGGATTTGCCAGGGCATTGGTCACAAGAGGAGACAGCTGCTGCCTTTTTTTGTGTTGAGAGTTTACTGGCACATCCATTGGCAGAGTGAGAGCATTTCTTTGTCCCTGTCACCAAATGTTTTGTGTCTCTAATTTTCTTAGCAGTTTGCATGGGCTTAAATACTAACATATGTATTTACAAATTAGTTGCTGGAGTATTGTTTCACTCCAGATTTTACTTCAGAGATGTGTAATTTCTGATTTTATTTTCTCAGTCTAATAACATTCATTAGCTAAACCACCCTTAATGCTTACATAGAACATGAGGTTCTTTACAGAGCAATGCCAATAAACCTGTTTAGTGTCAGCTATTCTAATGCTCTGTTTCTGATCAGTTTGTTATTGCAAGCCAAAATGTACATTACACCAGCTTCCAGATAATCATAGACCTGAGTCTAGACCTATTTTCTGCCTTTGTTTCCCTTGCAGGGGTTTATATCTAATGTTTCCAGAATGGAGAACTGATGTTCACATCCAGTAATTTTGCTGTGTTATGTAGCATAAAAGGGGCTAAAATAGTTTAGCATTGATGTTTCCATTGAATATAAACTATGAAAACTCTCTGTAGGAAACGACATTAAATCAGTACAATTATGTATCGCCCTAATCACAGCAAACAACAGTAGTAGTAGTATTTCTGCTCACTGCTGTGGGTGTGATGTAATTAAAAATAATAAGGTAGGGACATGCACACTTGTAAATTTGCTGAAATGAGCAAGTGATTGGGGTGTTGGGCAGAGCAGCATGCTGCTGAATGAGAGACTTTTCTTGGGTCTTTTTTTCCTACGAGTATCTGGAGACTTGTTTTCTTCCAGGCCCTGGTGGTGTAGCAAGAGCACCAGGATTTTTGTGTTGTTTAGTTTTTGGCTTTACTGTAGTAAGCAAACCAATATTCATTGTAATACCTCTGCCAGTTCTGTGACAGAACAAGGCACACAGGAGAAAAAGGGAAGATTATCAGCCTTTTCTTTCATCATGTTATTAGCTTCATCTGTCCAGGTTGGCACTTCTTGTGGTTATGTATGCCAAATATCCTGTATTATTCATTTGGCCACATGGCAACATTGCATGGCTTTGTAACACTTTGGTCAGTGGCCTTTAATATGCCTCCTTTGATTGTCTTTCCTGACCCTGTTTAATGTCTTGCCCAGTACTTGCTAATTTCTTTCAGTTAAAAATAATCCTTGCTTGCTGCTGAAATATTTCACTTGCTACTTTGTTCCATGTACCATTAAAAATAAAGTCACTCTTTTCAGTATTTTTTTCCTTTGGGACTGGATTTCAAAGCAACACATGAGAAGTTCTCTGTTTTGTGTTGTTTCATTTACGATAGCCTGAATTCATAAACAGAATAAATTAGCCAGTGTATTTAAATTTGAGAATATGCACTTAGTAAAGGTATGAGTCTCCTGGGAGATGGCATCCAAAAGCTTGTGTAAACTGAGCAATTAGAATTCTTGCTTGAAAAGAGGTTTACTGAAATTCACTTTCCATTAAAAGTATGATCAGAGAATGTGCTGTTCTTAAGGAAAAATGTGATTTTAAATAGTGTCATACTTATTATTCTTAACCAAAATCATTTGCATCCCTACTTGCTCAAAAATGCTTACTGTCTTACAGCTCATGTTAAATTTGGATGATGGTTTTTGTTTATTAATTAAAATACCCCTGCTTTAAGTGAACAATGTAAGTTGGTGAACAAATGCTCTCTAGTACAGATTAAAGGTCTAGTATGTGCTGTAGAATCCAGCACAGCTCATGGCTATAAAGGCACCTCTATTAAATATTGTAGACATTCCTGTAACCCCTTCCCAGTACTATATTAGGACTAAAATGTGGGGTTTAATTTGCTTTTTTTTGGTTTGTTTTTTTTTTCAAATTAGGTGCCCTCTTGGCTTTGGGCTCCTATATAATAAGACTGATCACTAGCATCTTCATAAATCCTCTTGAACCGTAAGAATACAGCACATCCTTCAGGCTTTTCAGAATTGGGAACAATAATAATTTTACAAATAGATTGGTAGTATAGAAAGTACATAAATGGCAGTTCTGTCGTTCATACTACCCACAGTCATCTATTCAGCTGCTGATATTGGGGAGAAGTAAACACTGAATAGGCTAAGAGGAAACTACAGGGGAATACCGAAGGGTTTTGGATCTATCTGGGTTGTGTTAATTGTATTTTCTGCTTGTCCTTCCATTCAGAGGAGGATTTGTGCTTAGTGATGTGCTCAAACACCTTCCTGAAATGGAGTATTTTTTCTTCTCTACCTGTTTCTTTTTTGTTGGTGTTGAAACAACGTGATAGACACAGTATTCATGGGATATGCAGCATAGGTTTATGACTAATCTAGTAATATTATCTTTGGCAAATTCAGATGTTTTAAAGTTTTAGGCTTAATTTTGACCTTTCTCAGGTCAAAATAAATACATACACATAGCTAATAAATACACATAGATTTATGCTATATATGCTCTTGGGTAGATGCTATTTTACATTGCCTTTCAAATAGGTTAAATCAAGTAAAGGGACTTCAGTGTGCTCAGTCTTAAGACTGAGCATCTCTAAAGTCTTAATGAGTCTATGCATGAAGACTCTTTCTTAATTATTGAACTATGACTCTTAAACAGATACATAGGCATCTTTCCATCATTTGCCCTCATGGGAGTAGCTTTTTCATTTAACAGAGTCCGATTTGACTTAAGCGTATCTTGGTCTTATTTATTTTAATACGTTTCATTTCGTGTTTCTAAATGCTTTCCTTTTCACCTAGCTCTGTGGGTCAGTTCCAAAATTCACATGCTTCCTCTTCCCACCTCCACCAGAATGAGCAATCATATTTTATTCCTTATCCTCCCAAGTGGGCTACTTCTGCCAGACTTGTGTTTGTTTTGTTCGCCTGCCAAACCCCAGCAAATGTCTTGTTTTAAGAATGATGGGCCTGTTTCCGCATGGATTCGGATGGTTCTGCAGAGTTTCTTGAGGGTTGTTTATTTTATTTTTTCTTTTGTTTGGGGTATTTATTTTGGTTTTAATTTTACTTGCAGATCTCTTAGTCTGTAAGACATAGCAGCTTAAATGAGCTTCAGCTAAAGAGTGAAATTTGCTCCGTTCTTCCAGAACGGTAAATGTTAACATTCACTTTAAAGCAGTCAGGAATTCAGAGGACTAGATTGTGAGGTCTTCCACTCATTTACAAAAGAACTATGAGCTGTCCAGGAATTTGTGTTTTAAACACAGTATTTACAGCTAGTACACTTTAACAGCTCTTCTCTGCAGTTACATGACCTGTTAAGGGTAAAACTTACATTCACTCATTTTCTTCAATAATTGGTGTAATCCTGAAGCCTGCCATGAAAGTTTGATCTCAGTAGTTCACTGCTGACATTTTTATGAAACTCCTCTAGGATGTGGGTTTTTGTTTTACTACTGTGGGCAATGCCTGTGTGAATCTGTCTGGGAAAATGAACCAAACTACATGAGAGGCTGAGATGATTTATTTTATTTCCTCTCTCCCTCCTGAATTATTTTATCATTTCCATTCCACGACCTGATAATGATACAATCATAGAATCATTTAGGTTGGAAAAGGCTTTTAAAATCATCGAGTTCAGCTACAAGCCTAATACTGCCAAGTCCACCAGTGGAAGTGGGGGGATGACCAAACATCCTTTGCCAGATGCTCTCCACAGGGCAACTGGAGGTGACAGTAGTGAAGATAAGGGTTACGGTTTTTACTGTGCTTGCTTTCTGGTAATGGAGACATTCTGTCATGGACCTACCCAAACTCCCAGTGTGGTGTTCCCACCTGTGATGGCACTATGTGGTTTTAACTTTGCTGTGTCCTTTACATGTGCTAGTACTGATCTCAATGAGGAGAGCATTGCTAATCTGCTAGCAGAATAGATGGATGTGTCATAGTTCCAGGATGCTCATATCCTCAGAAATCCCTCGGAAGATCCATGTGTTCCTGGACCAGTTAAAGTACTGGGAGATGGTGAAGATTGAGTGGCAGCCCCTCTTTTCAGACGCTGCTGCTAACACCGCTGCCACTTGTACTGTTCTAGGGAATGGCTCTGGGTAGGTTCTGGAAAATGACATCACCCTTAGAATGTGCATTGATATCAATAGTGGTTTTCCTCATTAACCTCTTGGCTGATGATGCCATCCAGGTAGGCGAGAAGGAGCTCAGTTCATGGAATGTATTATAATCTCTGGCTTTTGTTCCTCAGGTAGAGGTTTCTAGGAAAGACTATGAAAGATGTAACGTGCAGTGTTGATCCCGATTAATAACTAATATACTAAATTTTCCCATAATTAAGATATTCCAAGTGA